GTCGGCGGAGTTAGTACCTACTTATCTCTCTAGTTTCCTCTACTTTGAGCCATTTGATCCCATTATTCTATTGCCTGTAGCCTTTTTCTGTCATTTCTCTGTTGAAGAACTTTGGGAGAGATGGCGGAGACTCGCCATGCTACCCAGGATTGCTGCAAGAGCAAACACTCTAGGTTCCCACGTCCTCTCTTCTCATGGTGGCCACTCCCCATCCATTTGATTATAGCAACCGTGCTCACAGTATAGATCATGTCCTCTCTGGACGACCAAGAGTTTCGAGTCAGCGGTACTACCGCAGATGATGGGCTGGACACTACGCCTTTACCGAAAATCACACAGGCCGAAATTACTACCATTATCTCGATCCTCCTTATGCTGGTTAGGGCGATTGCTGTTTCCTGGCTCGGACTTCTCGGGTGGAAGATGTGTTTCTCGATGCTCGAAAGAACCGGCGGAAGTCTTGCTCAGGTGCATCGACTGGTCTCTCATCGCATTCCTCCGTTTCGTTTTATGGGGTCGACGAAAGAGAAACTGAAACAGGAATGGATGCTGCTCGCTCTGTTGTGGATCGTCGCCATTTGCACGTTGCGCTCTCAATTTATTGGACCACTCCTCACCGGTGCCGTGAACTGGCAGCCTGCGAATGTCTTTATCGATTCTGGAGCTAATGTGGAAATGCCAGTGTCGGGTCCAGGCTTGAGATGGTTCAACATGAACACTTTGAAAATGACGAGATACTACAGCATGATGCATGCTGTTGCTATGGGCGCAATGTCATCTACTAAGGACTTTTACCCTGGCTCCATCGCATACAAGCGGACTAATCCCAATTTGCTTCACATACCTCTCAACTCGACGTTGGATAGCATCATGGTACCATATTTCCAGATTCACTCTCTCGATTGGATCACTGCGGCGGATCAACTCAGCAACGACGAGGATGCTTTAATCAATAGTATAACATCTAATCAGACTTTCGGAAACCTGTCCTTCAGCAACATGAACATCAAAACAACGGTCAATCCATACACCCTCGGGTACTACCTAGGCCGCGTGAACATCGCCCTCGACCAAGGATGGGCACCAGCTCCAAGCCACAACGACACCAAGGAATCCGACTGGCCTTTACCCACCATCCGAGACAAGTCCCTCCTTGTCCTCGTCGCATCCGGTTATATGGGTCGTAACTGCGACGACGTCTTCAAGAATCAAAACCCCATCCTCGGCAATATCTCCACCCTCTACAACTACCCCGACTCTCTTGGAAGTTGTCCCCTCCTCGCCCGCCTCAACTTCACAGCTGGCGTTGCGAATTGCCGCGACTGTCCCATTGTTTCCGATGGCGTCGTCGAACTCGCCGGCGACCAAGCAAAATTTGCTGAAGTCCTCCCTGACCCCCTGGTCGACACCGCGATTGCTATGATGCCGGAAGTGCTGCACTATCTGCAAATTCTGAACGTGTCATACGCCTCGGAAATGAACAATATAGACGGATACACTCGCGGGATGCTGTCGTTGGCATACCAGACGAGCTGGGGCGCGCTGGCTGCGGATCTGGGCATGGAGGTACAGGTCGAGGAGACAGGGTTCAAAACGCCATTTGCAGTGCTATTGGCGAAAGTCACGGTTTGGAGAGTCATTGTGTGGTATGTCGGACAGCTTCTCCTGACGCTGACGGGGCTGGTGATTGCGGCTGCAGAGTGGAAGTCGAAGTTGAGGATGGAGAGGAAACCGCTTTCTATGCTGTTAATTTTGGGGGTGGATGCTAGTAACAAGGGGGAGAGGGATCAAGAAGGTGGATCTGACGTGGCTTGTCCGTGCGTGGCGGATGAGGAGGTAAGGTTGAGCTTGGTTGTTCCAGAGGAAGATGAACTGGGATGTCAGAAAGTGAGGCTTGAGGTATCTAGCGAGGTGAAAGATGATAGTGCTCGGAAGGGGAAGGTTCGTATAGAGGAGTGGGACCTGAAGAATGGTAGAACATGGGATGTAAGAATTCGGTGGGAGAGGCTGATAAACAACAGTCAAATCTTGACTCCTCCCGGGCCTCTGCGGAACTACAGCCACATTTAGAAGGCTGAGACGAGGTGTATACTCCTGAAATGCTCTCGGACAACTCTAGGACTGAATACTTCTACTTGTTGGGGCTCCGCTTTCTCAAAATCGTGCGGGCATTCGTCTTCTGGCACCCACTGTGGCAAGTAAAACCGGTCTAGCAATATATCATGGATGATGAGGAGGGAAGGAATCCGGCGTGTAACTCATCGGTTTCTAGTTGGTAGGTGTGTTCGCAATGTCCTGACGTCTAATGACTCTTACTACTCCATTTGTCATACCTCAGGTACTCACTGAAATCCTCCCGAGTCTTTTCCGGGTCACTGGTGACCGCAGCTACTTCGTTGACCGGATCCCACGTGAAAGTGAGCTTTGTGGAGGGGTCGGGTCAGGTAAGGTCAAGAGGAATATATTGTTGGCCAATCAGAAGCACCATCTCATGGCTAGCCTCTTTAGGCATGGACACGATGTTGGATGAGACCAATCATGCACCCCTGATGTTCTAGGTACGCAGGTACTGCACCTTACTTGGACATGTATGTCCACTTGATCAAATGGAAGGAATTGGAATAATAAGAATCGCTGCTTCGTCGCTCCGATCCTAAACTCCGGCATGGGTACAGTAATTCGTTTTCAATCTCTCTTGATTCCATTGCGCTTGGAGTATTTAACACGATGAATGCGGCGGCGATTCTCTCGCAAAGGGGTACCTTTGTTGTTCATTGAAATTCTGAATCATTCTTCAGACTCATCTTTTCTTGTTGTTGTTGCAATGGTATTCCTGCGTTCATTTTATCTGCAACTCCTGGCGGTCACGTCCCTGGCAACGGCCACAGTACAGTCAAACTCGACAGTCGATCTGGGATATGCGACATACCGTGGTACTCCTCTCGAGGCTGGAGTCACGCAGTTCCTCGGCGTACGTTATGCCGCACCGCCGGTAGGAGAAAGGAGATGGAGGGCTCCACAGGATCCGGGGGTCGAAACGGGAGTTCAGGATGCTGGAGCTGTAAGTATCTCATGACTCTATAGAGTCCTATCCATGAAACACAAGAAGAACATTACTAAAAGCAAGCCATAGTACAAACCCATTTGCATCGGCCAATCCCAACCCACAAACTCAACATCCCTAAGCGAAGACTGCCTCCACCTAAACATCTTCACGCCCTCAAATGCCACCGCGTCGTCCAAGCTGCCCGTGTGGTTCTACATCCAGGGCGGCGGCTTCGGGACCAACTACAACGCCAACTACAATGGTACGGAGGTTGTCCGGCGGTCTGGGAATGGGTTGATACTCGTCAACTTCAACTACCGTGTTGGCGCTTTGGGCTTTCTTGCTAGCGAGGAGGTACACCGGGATGGTGATTTGAATGCTGGATTGTTGGATCAGCGGAAGGCGTTGGAGTGGGTGAGAGAGTATATTCATCTTGTAAGCCTGCCTGGGCTGGTGCCAGCCATATGTTCGGTGGAGACTGTTGAGATTGACAACTGTGCTTCCTAGTTTGGCGGTGATCCGAATCGTGTGGTCCTCCATGGCTCCTCGGCCGGAGGCAGCTCAATAGCCTACCATCTCCAGGCCTACGGTGGTCGGAATGACAACTTGTTCATTGGCGGCATCGCTGCCTCGCCGTACTTTCCATACCAGCCTACCGTTGGCGAGGCAGAATTCGTGTTTGATCGCTTTGCCAGCGATGTCGGATGTGGTAACGCTAGTAATACACTTTCTTGCTTGCGCTCCGCAAACATCAACGCAATCGAAGTCGCCAACGTCCCGAAGCCGTTCCCAGGTGCTCCTGGCCCGGGACTATTCGCGTTCCTACCAGTCGTCGACGGCAACTTTTCCCGGCACCGTCTCTACGACGCCTTCTCCAATGGCAACTTCTTCCAAATCCCACTAATCGTCGGCGGCGACACAAACGAAGGAACCGTCTTCGCTCCCAACGCCTCGAGTCCCGCAGACGTGTCAGACTTTATGCAGAGCAACTACCCTCATCTGACGGAATCCGAGCTCTCACGCATCAACGACGCTTACCCCATCATGGACCGCCTCTTACAGCACGAGCCCTACTTCCCATCCGCCAGCGCAGCGTGGGGTGAAGCGTCCATCGTCTGCAGCGGCCTGTTGCTCTCAGACACCATGGCGCGGTTCGGAGACGGCAGCAAAGTGTGGAACTACAGATACAACGTGCAAGACCCCGGCAGCATCGCCCTGGGGCTCGGCGTGACGCATACGTCGGAGACTTCGGCTGTGTTTGGCGGGCTGGATATGGCGCCGGGTCTTGATACGTCGTTGGCCGATGTTAATGCGGGGATTGTGCCGCTGATGGAGGATTATTATATCAGTTTTGTTGTGGGGATGGATCCGAATAAGGGGAAGGCGAGGGAGACTCCCGTGTGGCAGATCTACAGGAGGGGACCCAGTGACAGTCGATTGAGAATTATGACGAATGGGACGCAGATGGAAAATGTGGATTCGGGATTGCGGGACAGGTGTGACATGTGGAAGAGCATGGCAGGCCAGATGGAGTTTTGAAGCAAATGATAGAAATAGTACAGGAAGTGAAAGATGTCTTGAGAAATAAATGGTGGTAGCCGTACCGTCATTACTTTGCATGAGGATCGGTTCAGTCCATAGAGCTAGTCGATCCAATGGGAAGATAAAAAAGTACCAATTCATTCTTACGCTTTCATGAGTTACCTAGGCTCTGTGTGGACTGAAGGCGTAGTTGACTCTTCGTGATTGAACTTGCAGATGTGTTAAGTTAGCTGGAGAAGACGAGCTAATGATTATGTAATATGGTCTCGGCCCTAGGTATCTCCGCTCCGTTCCCTGGGAGGCATTCCCCGCCCCGCGTGAACCTGCCCCGCCCACACAAAATTTCGACAACAAAGTTCGCTTTCAACCACCACAAAAGATTGAAAAAAGTGCAAAAAAGTATATATTTATTTGCATCAGCCGTGAATCGAACACGGAGCCCGTCGACTCAATATGGCAACGACGGATTTTACCATTAAACCACTGATGCGCCAAGGAAAGTAACCTTTTGATGGGTCACAGTACACTCGCATTTTGCGGCTAAACCACTGATGCGATTGTTGAAGGACAGTGAATTTGACGCAATTATATTCAATAGCCCTTTGTGAAGTGGTTTCAGGAAGAGGACAATCAGGGGGCAACGTCGGCAAAAGATTTCAAATGATAGCCGAGAGCCGAGCAAAATGAACATATGAAGTCATTCACACACGTGAATAGTAAGTTCTTGGAAATCTAGTACCTAAGGGGAACAAACGTTGCTGTGTTGTCCTGGTTGGTTTTCGGCTACGCAAAATGCTGAACTGATCATGTGATTCTAGGCTAAAATGCAAACAGCCGACCCCTGCCAAGACTTCAATCCCGCGCCATCCACTGCAGGTGGTGATCAATGAACACAATTCTTCAGAGTACAATCCTTCAACGAATTTACTACAATGATTGGAAGCATGATGTCTCATGAATCCTCTCTCCGGCTGAGATGGTGAATACTGGGCGTCCGAGTCGAGGCTGCAATCCATGCAAAGAGCGGCATACCAAGGTAAATTGCGTTCAAGTCCTGTGTATGACACTATGCTAAAATCCAGCTGTAAAGTGCGACGAACGACGTCCAGTAAGTACCCACATCCATTAGCTGGAAGTACATGTTTCTTACTCTCAGCAGGAATGCTCCCGTTGCAAGAAAGCTGGTCGGAAATGCACAGGATACAAATTTGATTTCGACATCAACCATCGTAATGAAACAAACATTGTGGCTCAGCGGGTGCTTGCGCGCGAAGCAAACTACCAGCATGTTTCAAAGTCATTGCCCATCCCATACGAGCAACAGGCTGTCGCTTTGTTTATAGAGAACTTCGTCCTGCACTCGCCCGATGCGAGATATTCCAAAGGCTATCTTACCGGCCTGTTGCCATTGTTGCAGACCGCGAAAGCGGACTCTCTCCTTTGCGGCGTCGTTGAGGCAGTCGGATTATGTTTTCTCGCGACAAGTACAATTAATGACTCGATTGCTTCGCGAGCGGGTCGTGGTTATTCGCGCTCCTTACGTTGCTTGCGGGCGAGGCTGGATCAGGACGCCCATTGCGTTTCTCCCGAGACGATGCTATCCGTATACTTGATGGGACTGTACGAGGTGAGTACTCAACAGAAAAATGTCATTTTGCCACTGACAGAAAGTCGTCTGTACTAAATCAAGACTCTAGATGATAATGCCCCCAGAGGCGGCCGTGCATCCGTGGCAAGCTCACTTGAAGGGTCTTACTACGCTTGTACAATCACACAACAAGCAAACTGGCGGCCTTCCGGGCACTGGCTTCTTTGCTGCTCTAGAAATTTCTCATAATCAATCAGATTGGGTAGTCAAAAATGATACGCCCCTAGGCGGGTGGTTCATGGACCACTCGGAACATCAATCACGAGACGTCTATGATGAGGTTATTGCGCAACATGCAATGAGGCGTGGTCCCGTCCTGAAAAGTAAATCCACAAGCGCCTCGCTCGACGATTTGATTCTTCGAACAACCCCTATCCTGCAAAGAGCCCCATCATTACTTGAGAGCTCGCACCCTGAGGCAAAAAAGGATCTCGAGCTTCTCTTTACTGCAGCACGCGACCAACTTTCAAGCTTCAAATTATGGCCATCAGGTCTACCTGAGTACTGGCAACCCAAAACCGTCCATCACCAGGTTGATGGATCTGATCTTCCTTGGCCAGGCATCTTTTCTGGCAGGACCGACATGTATTCCGACTGTGAGCGGCTCACCTGTTCAAAATGGATTGCAACTGACCAAGACACAGTGTACGTGGCTGCTGCGTGGAATACATATCGCACAACACTGCTGCGACTATGCGACGTAATTTTACGATGCAGCATACGCCTTTCGACGGATGCCGCGCCATTCGACGCGACTGATGAACACCAAACCCTCCATGCCATAGCTGTTGAAACCTGTGAAGGAATATGTGCATCAGTCCCCTACCACGTCGACCAGGACTGGCTGAACCGTGTTTCCAAAACCAGCTTCCAGAAATCTTCAAAAGCATTAGGCGGTCTTTTCCTCATCTGGCCTCTGTATGGCGGCAGTCTTCTCTCGATTGTACCGAGGGTATTTCGAGCCTGGATGAGACAGCGACTGCGAGCCATTGGAACTTCGATGGGACTGGCTCAGGCGATCACGCTTGCTGATACAGTGGATGTATGGGGTGCCGCGGATCCTCACAAAGCCATGGTCATTGCTGAAGGTTATGTATTCATGTGGAGTGCTAGCATGTTCTCAAACCAGTGATTGAAGTTCGGTAAAGAACACCTCAAGAGCAGCTATACATCAAGCGTCGATACCAAGTCTCTCCAACAACGGCCCAAACGCTCCCCGCCAAATATCAATTCCTCCCTGCGCGATGCCAACACCAACTTCCTTCTTCAGCCTTCCATCCGCCGCAAACTCCATCAATCCTTCCATCGATTTATCCAGGTACTCCTCCAGCCCCATAGGTGGTACAAGCGTGTCCTTCCCGCCTTGCAGCTCGTTAATCCGCGCCCTATGGTTGGCATCCAACGCCGTATCAACATATGGTGGCGCGATCTCCACAATTGCGAGGTTCTTCTTTACTTCGGCGCCCGCAGAGTTGACTTGCTGTCTCAATGCAACGGCGAAGGAATGTTTCGCCGCCTGTGTGGGGCAGTAGACCGGATAGAAGCCGAAGGAAATGTACGCGAGGCCGGACGTCGTGAGGAGCAAGTTGGCGGGCTTGCCGCTTTCCGCGAGCGAGGCGAGGTGTGGCATGAAGAGTCGGGAAAGAATGATGGGACTGGTCAGGTTTGTGGTGATTTCGTTCGTGATGGCATCGTCTGAGATGCTGGATGGGTCGAAGAAGCTGAAGCTAGTCTGCATGCCGGCGTTCAGGAAGACGGTGTCGATGTCGGGGAATGCTTTGAGGATCTCGTCGACTTGGGACGGCAGAGAGGCGAGATCTGCGGCGTCCATCTACGGTACAGAGACGATGGTTAGCCGCGACAAAAGATGATCGGAAGACTGATTAAAGGCCACCTACCTCCCGAGCCTCGAGATCTGGAAGCTCTTTCTTGAGTGCCGACAGTCGATCCGCCCGGCGACCGGTGATGATGACTTTCTTCCCCATGGCGAGGAAACGGCGGGCGTAGCCTTCGCCAATGCCGGAGGTTGCTCCTATGATGAGAATGGTGGAGATACGCTGGTCCATATGATTGAATTTTGGGGTCAGAATTGAGTGAGATGAGGACTTTCGAGGCAGTTCAATGATTCTTTGACTGTGGAACTTGGTTCACGCGAAGATACACATTCAGGAGATTTGGCTACGCTTTTATACTGAGTTGTCTATCTCGCAGGCGGACTAAACGACCAGTTTACAATCCGCAAGTACCCTATTCATAATCCTTCGCAGTCTCGGGGTTCATGATACCCTCGCTTTCCTGCATCTTGTTCCATATAGGGGTAAGCGATGGAGGAGGATTTCCCCTGAACCATGAGCCAGGGGCTAGTCCTAATAAGGCTAGCCATGAGATGTTGCTTCTGATTGGCCAGTCCTTGAGCATACCTCCCTGGTACCCAGTTCGTCCGCTTGGACAAACGGATTTTAATGCACCGAGCTTTCAAACCATCCAGTTGATTACTTGTCATGAGAGACTCGAGAATGACTTCGGCTCTTCGCACTCCGGTCGCCGTATCTTCATTGCCGGCTGGTCCAGCCATCACGGATGCCGGAAATTCCAGGCTGTGACTCATCTGCGGAGGCATCGCCAAGGATTGAAGAATGCAGCACCCGAAATTCAATGGCATATTCGGGGATTTTTGGCGCAAGTTGAACGTCCCAAAAGTCATTTCGGTTGCACTTGGCATAATTACACAGACTGTGGCTATGACTCAGATGTGGCTATGGAGAAGCGAGGTGTGACCGTGTGACTCACGTTTAGCTTCATCGTAACATCCGTGCCTTATGTTCCAAGGCTACTACTACTCCTTTTGTTGCGCCTCGCTGGGAGCTACATAAAGCCCATTTGGCTGACGATAGTTGATCAATCCAGTCCTCATCGTCTTTCATTGTTCGCACACTTTCTCGCCTCCATAAGAAGCTTCTTCACGTCCTTCACGTCCTTCACGTCCTACCAATCTTCCACTCTTTCTACATCTTCCAACAGAACAGGAAGCAACTTTCAACATGGCTTCTGAATCACGTGTTTTCCCTTGCAATACTTGCTCAATCACTTTCCAAACTAGCGAGCTCCAGCGTTCGCACATGCGAGGCCCGTGGCAGTAAGAACATCCGCAACGCATTAGGTACGGGGAGCTAATGTAGGCAGTGTAAATAATCTACGGCGCCGTGTAGCCGAGTTACCAGCTTTGCCAGAAGAAGAGTTCAGCAGTCAAGTCAAAAGCCAGGATAGTGGTATGCAAGGGAAAAGGCGAATATCATCCCACGAAGCCGAAGCAGACCCCGCTTCTTCCTCCGAAAAAGTGCCTGAAGCGGAAGAAGAGATCTTTGAGAAGGTTCCCCCAACAAAATGTCTCTTTTGCAACATGAACTCCACCTCCCTTGACGCGAATATCGACCACATGTCATCCCAGCACGGCCTCTTCATCCCCTCGCGCAACCAACTATCAGATTTGGAATCCTTCCTCGGCTACCTCGCAACCATCATCTTCGAATACCACGAATGTCTCTACTGCGGCCTCGAGAAACCTACCGTCGACGGCGTGCAGGCGCACATGCGCGACAAGGGCCATTGCATGATCAACGTAGACGCCGAATCCGAGCTTCTGGACTTCTGGGAGCTTTCAGACAGCGAAGGCGAGGACGACGGCGGGAACGAAGGGAAAGACCGTGCGAAAAGTCCAGCGATCAAGCTCTCCGAGACGGAGATGAGACTTCCGTCTGGTGCTGTCATCAATTCTCGTTCCGACACCACGCAGCTTCGCGTCAAACCGGGTATCGCGAGGTCAAGGACAAAGGGCTCGCAGT